CCGCCGCCGCCACGCGCCGGGTTCTGCGCCCCTCGGCCCGCGGGGTTAGGGTGCAGACCTCCTGCCGGGTGCTGGCCAGGCCCGCCCGCCATGGCGACCCCGGAATGCTGGCGCCCTCTGACGGCTCGAGGGGCTGAACTGAGGCGCCCCTGCCTGGGCTGGAGGCAGTCTTCTCTCTGGGCGCCGCTCCCAGCCCGCGCGCTGCGCTCGGTGCGCCGTGCACCCGCGGACCCCGGCCCGGGACAGGCTCCGCGTGGGCGGTGAGAGCGCTGCGCCCTGGGCAGGGCGGCCTCAAGGGGCGCCAACACCCAGGGCCCTGAGAGAGAGCGGTGCACCCAGCCAGCGACCCCATGTCCGCATTAGGCTAGGCTCCCTCCTCCACGCGACGTAGGTGTCACCCAGTCACTTCTGCCTCAGCAAGAGGCTGCGCTGCAATCCCAGACACTTCTGCCTCTCCCAAGTTGGCCAGTGAGCCGTGGTGGTTCTGATGGCCCTGGGATCTAAAAGCCTCGGTTTCTTCATCCATAAAATTGTATATACCGGGTGTAGCGGAAGGAATGCGCTGATTTAGGAGTCAGACCTATCTGGATTTGAATCTCAGCTCCAGCTTTTTCTGGCTCTGTGGACTTGGATGAATAATGTCTCAGTGCTCCAATTACACATCTGTAAAATTGCTCCATACATATCTGTAAAATGGACCTAATCTGATATACATGGATAGGTTTGAAAGGTTTATCTAGTTCTGTCAGAGCACTCCAAAACCATAGTTATCTGATGAGGGGTTTGGAGAAGGGTGAAAGCTTTTGACTCTATATATCCTTACATGTAGTTTAAATTTTTAAACCACAAACATGATTTGTATATTGTTAGTTGCATTGGCAGCACCATATTTCATGGAGAAGAGATTGAGGTTCTCAACAATTACAGCTTGCTCAGATGTACAATCAACACTCTTAAGAGCAGCAGTCAGGATATCAAAAGACGAACTGCAATGGGAAAATCTGCTGTCATGGACCTCTCCAGAGTGTTGAAGGGCAGTGATGTCAGTCTAGATACAAAGGTGCACCTAATCCAGGCCATGGTCTTCTCAATTCCTTGTTATGCTTCAGAGAGTTGGACAATGACCAAGAATGACAGAAGAAGAACAAATGCCTTCAAGTTTTGGTGCTGGAGAAGAGTCTAGAACATACCATGTACTGCCAAGAAAACAAATAGGTCTGTCTTGGAGAGGGTGAAACCACGTCTCTTCTTGGAGGCTAGGATTTTGAAGCTCCACCTCACTTACTTTGGGCATGTGGCCAGGAGAGATATGCTCTTGGAGAAGGACATCATGCTTGGAAGGGTGGACGGACAGTACAGAAGGAGACACCCAGATAAGATGGATTGATACAGTAACTGGGGCGATGGAGGTTGGTGTGTTGGAGTTAGTGAGACTGGCTCAGGACAGGGAAGGGTTCAGAGGTGCTGTACATAGGGTCACAAGCAAGCGACTCAATGGCACATAACAACAATAACATACTATGACAGGTTTGGAAGCAGGAGTGGCATCTACTTCCTAAATAACATGCCTCTGGAAACTCTATGAACTTTGATAAATGTCAATAGTTGGAGAGGGGCTTCAAGACTTTTGTTCATAGTGTCGCTATGAGTCATGCTTGACTTGAAGGCAATCAACAACAGTTGCAGTCCCAGGCTTCAGACCCAGCTTCATGGTGACCCCATGTGGACAGAGTACAGCTGCTCCATGGGGCTTTCCAGGCTGTAAGCGCTGGAAGGTGATAACCAATCCTGTCATCTTAATGCCTCGGTGGATTCACACTGCCAGGTTTTCAGTACACAGAATGCTTAACCATTTGTGCCACCCAGGAAGTCCAAAGATATATGTATTATATTGAGAAGAAATAATCTGTGTAAAATGACTGGTAGAAAATAGATAACAAATTGTCACTACTACTTTTTTTTTAATTCTTTTTACCATTTACTTATGACCCACAAAACACACAGTTGTGTTTTTTTGGATCTATCTGACATTTTGAAGTTTCTTTTTTTTTTTTTTTTCGC